ATGAACTTTTGATAAGGATATCGCACAGAGCTTCGCAACATCTCATTTTGAAGAGAATACTTTTCTCTATACGAATAAGTGTTTAAAAAGATTTTGGCTTGTTAACATACATGTGGACGAGTTTTAGAAAGTAAACAATGATGAATTAGGATCTTCAGTGGCCAATCTTAAAAAATTCATAACTATTGAAAGAAGTCGCATCAGCATAAATCCTCTTAGGCTTTTTCTTAGAATGATATCCCCTATATGTGGACAAAATATCAACCAAAACGGCGTGAATCAGTCGGGGACCTTTCCTTGTGAGAAAAAAAATAGCACCTATAACACACATATTGACAAGAACGTGTTCGTTGAAAAGGGCTATGTTCAAAAAACAAAGTGAACAACTTCACGAAACAAATAAAATATCGCGTCTGATCATCTTCTTTCTGTCCTTCCGTCTATTTTCTCCCACCTCCACGTCCACGATGTCTTCCTCGATTTGTTTTTTTTGTATTTGTTCGTTGAGCTAAACTTGTTGTCGTTGTTTGTTGATCAATATTATTCTCATTTAATCCATCATCTGAGTCATCAATTGACAATGCTTGCTTGTACCGTCCTTTTTTTACTTGTTGAGGTTCTTTCGGTAACAATGTGCTTGCTCGTTTACTTCTTGTTTGTGTCCGTGAAAAATTGAATAACGTATCACTACTATCTTCTGGTTCAGTGGACATTTCAGAGTGCCGTCGTTTCAAATGCGAACGTAATTGAGGCGGTGGTGTTAGAAACGATGTTGTCGACTGTTGATTATCATCCTTTGCATCGATTTTTTCTTGATCATCCATTAATGGTGATTGAATACGTGTTTCCAATAATTGTGAAGTTGCTGTTGATGGTTGTTGTATTTTATTAAGCGATGGCTGCTGCTCCGAATCTAAACCATATTGTTTTAATACTACTCTAATTGAGTTTGATGCCCATTTTTTTTCATTCAATAATATTATATATAAAAAACGAAGAACACGGCTAAAGGGTGGGCCAGAAGTCCTGACTCGATTTGAATAATAAATTTTTCTATAGTGAAACAAGTGGTTGTAAATTTGTCTCTATGAAGAAAAGATGCAGTAAAAAACGCTCTACAAAATGACGATTG